TGAGTCAAGCAACGCTAAACCTTAGGTCAACCCTAAGATAATTAAAGAGATTAGCAAAGTTCTATAGTCAAAAATAAATACAGGTGCAGCAGAATAGGGAAGACCCTACTCCAGCGCCAGACGAATACATCTAGCGTCTAGTAATAGTTTTTAGCGCCTGGCGCTAGATTACACCGACTGGCGACAGAGTCAATTCTTGGCGTCAGAGATATTTCAGCAGCGACAGAGCTCGAAGCCTCTCAGAAAAGTGATATCGACCTCTACAGCGATTTCGGGTTCCTTGGTACGCCAGTTAGCCCCTATACGCAATTTGACATGATTAAGTAGTCGATTTGATTACAATCGCAATAAGTGATCGACCTGACGAAAGATCGTCTCACTTAACTTAAAGCGCCTAAGCATTGGCTCATCACGGAGACACCGACATAATGGTTCACAAGCAGCAAACCGCCGACCTACTGGCATAATGGAAGCAAAGTTCAAGCGAGCTTTAGAGATCGGCAAGCGTTGGTCTTCAGAAATTTTTCTTCAGAATATTATCGCAACAAACATTCAAGCATCGAAGCTCTTTTGTTCAGAGACGCGTGGACATATCATTCAAAAGCTCTATTGTTCAGAGACGCGTGGAAATATCATCAAGCTCTTTTGCTCTAGAAACGCGTGGGCATATCATCAAAGCTCTTTTGTTCAGAGACGCGTGGACATTTCTTTCAAGCTCTTTTGTTCAGAGACGCGTGGACAATCCTTTCAAGCTCTTTGTTCAGAGACGCGTGGACAATCCTTTCAAGCTCTTTGTTCAGAGATGCGTGTACAATCCTTTCAAGCTCTTTTGTTCAGAGATGCGTGGACAATCCTTTCAAGCTCTATTGTTCAGAGGCGCGTGAACATATCCAAAAAAAAAACGAAGCTCTTTGTTTAGAGACGAGTGAACATCGAAACAGCAAGATGGCGTTCCCTAGATTGTGGAGAGTTGTCAAAATCAACTGAAGGTTATTTCAAACGAAGTTGTCTTCGATCATGTTCCCTTAGACGTGGAAGATGGTCACAAAGCGGAAGAGGATTGTTTCAAGCGAAGCAATCTTTGATAGTGTTCCCTGGTTTGTGGAATATTATCAAAGCGGAAGAGGATCGTTTCAAGCGAAGCAATCTTCTATATTGGAAGCAGTTACAAGCGTAGCAATTTTCAAGCGGGATGGCATTCTCTTGGCAGGAGGTCATCAAAACAGTAAAGCGGCAAAAGTGAGTGAAAATGAGCTCTGATAACGTCTTAATTGGACGAAAAATGTTAATGGGTAGTGATACCCAAATGTTTTCAAACTTGTGGGTAGTTCTAAACAAATAAAAAAAAATGGGTAGTTGTTCACAAATAACCCTATCTTTAGGGTAGTTCTACACAAAATTTTCTAAATTTTTACCTAAAGGTTAATTGAAGGTGCAATCCTCATACTGACTGAATACTAGAAAACGTTTTAGAAAATCTCATGGATAATAGTTTGCACTCTTAAAGTGCACAAATTACAACACTATACAGCTCATACACATGTAGCATATATGATTTGCTTAAATAATACATATTCAAGGCACATTCAATAAAAATGAGCATATGTATTATTCACATATGATTCAACTAAAAAGCTAATGAAAAAAACTGATCAAAATAGAAAATCTGAAATGTAAAGAGTAAGTAGATAAACCCTTTAAGTTAGAATAGTAAGTCATACAACCATTTCAAAATACTAATATAGAAATATAAATTGAATTCTATTCATCATACTACTCAACTGTCTTCTTAAAACTTAAACAACTAATCATTTAAAGATACTCAAACTAGGACTAGATCTACATCAAACACTAGAGGATTACCTTCTCGATACTTAATCAGTGCACCTTCATCCTTTTGAACATTATATCGAGTAGCAAATTCCCTAACACCACTATATAATTCACACTTAGTAAGTCTTCGTAATTTTTAGTTTAGCAGCAATCTGATCACTAGAATTCTGGAGGATTACATTAGCTGAATCACCAAATTCACTCAACCAGTTATTAGCAAAATCAACAGGAACATTCTGCAAACAATGGAATGAAAGTAAATAAAATTATTTCATTAGAAAAAAAAAAGTTTTCAAACTCAGCATACATTTCACCACAAGTAATATTTATTAACAATACTTACAATTGTTCTTAACTTAAGATAGGCTGCAGTGAAAATGAATTTAAAATGTGGCTCCAAACAGCTACGTGCAAGGTCATTGATCCATTCATTTTTCTCTATCATCTTTGCAGAATTACCATGGTAAGTAGGTGTGCGTCCACGCCTCCTGCTAACACCACCAGCACTATTGCCACTTCTAGATGCTTGTGTTTTCTTACTTCCTGATGGCCTTAAAATCTGCACAGAGAAAGAGCTATCCCCTATATATGTAAACTTTAATCCATCTCCAATATTTATCCTATTATCTCTTACAAATTCAGACGAACCACCTTCTAATACAGTTATTCAACCATCTCTATCCTCTTCATGTGCCATAGTAGCTTCCCAGACTCTACCATATTTTAGCAATTGCAAATGAACTCCTTTAGAACCATCGTTCAATATGTTCTTAAATTCATCAGGAATACGCTGCACATTAATATAGATTAGCGAAGTAACATTCGAGTTATAAACAACAAACAAATAAGAGCAAAACAGACAGAAGTCTAACAAAACTACATAACTACAACTACTTTTAACAAATATAACAGCAGTAATAAAGCAATAATTCTAAATTTCATACCAGCTTATTTTTGTAATGATCTTCATAGTGAATAGTAAATGTCATTGCATAATTTGCCATTGAAATTCCTAAACAAATCACTAAAGAAGTGTCTATTCTTAGTTTATAATCACAATTTAATGGTTAATTTATACAGTAGCAAACACTGCCATATATATATCAAAATTATTGCCAGAAATTTATAGCATATTAATTGTAATTAAATATTTCTTTGACAAGAAAAGACTTAGACAAATATGATTTTTAGAAACCGAAACACACCTTAATTTCAAGATACCTTTCCAATGGTCATACTAGCAATAATTACAAGTCAAGTCAATTCAAAGGGATCATAAATAATAATCTACCCAAATACCACAATAACTGATTATCCTCTTCATACACCATTTGTTTACTTTTTATATAGCCATGATTAAGACCAAACATAAGTAATATAGAATGAAAATAGCTAATTACTAAATACAAAGAGCTAATTTGTAATATACCAATTTAAAACCAAACAGAATTAACATTAAAATGTAGTTATTTTTTACATATTGGAGTGATTATCAAATTAGAATGAAGATAATTTTCTTTGAAATATATACTGCATAACATAGCTAATTAGTACAGCACATAAGATTCTTAACAAGCTTTCACTTCATGAGCTTAGAAAATTTATTTATTACAAGCAACTTCCTACAGAAACTACTAATATTCTGATAGGTTAACTACATGCATTTTTTTTTATCAAACTATTAACTTGATTTTCTCCATCAAAAGCTTCAATTATTATATTATCCCCACCATAAGTGCCTTATTACAATGTCACTCTTCACTTTCTGACCTTCAGCAATCTCATTTCCTTCACCTTTCTTAATTATTATCACATCATCTTGGCTATCATCAGCCACCATTGCACTTTCACCCACTGCAGTTTTGTGCTTCAATCCCCATATTTAAGGCAGCATCTAAAAATCCAAAAGCATAGCATATAAGCTTAGCTTGTAAAACATAAGTATATAGTAGTTTATTTACAAGGTTCTGTCTAATTCAGGAGTTATTTAGTTCTATTTTTGGAAAACAAACAAATAAAAAACTGGCATTGTTGAGATTGAATATGAAATATGTGAAATAAAGACTTCCAAATAGGCCAAAAAGTAGCTTAATAAAAGTAATGCTTTTTTGCATCATCAAATACTATTTTGTGACATAAGTGACTCTTTAAGTTAGTGTATTACAAGTGTTATGATTTAAAATAATATTCTAACTTTATATAAGTACATTATATTCTACTTCCTCCATTCTTTTTTATTTGACCCGCTTTGAATTTTACACTATTCACCACCCCTTCGACTGTGTTTTGTGAATAATATGTAAGGAACGAAAAACATATTTATGTTGGATCATTTTGAATTCGTCTCAATAAGTACTATTATAATATATAACTTTTAAATTTTTTTAATTATGGAGAATTAAAGTTATTGACCGATAAAGTTTTACATTGGCAAGCGTGATAAAAGAAACAGGTCAAGTAAAAAAGAACAGAGAAAATATAATTTTTAAAAATCAAGATTCTTGGTATTGGGCTTATTACATTTGTATACACTCATTGCACAAATAAAGAAATAATGTTGTTGGCTATTCATGGGCCTCCTCCTACAAAACAAGTAAATTAGTCAAATAATTTTTCATGGACTCATATATTTATGATATCTTCTTGATTTCAAAATGATATAAATTAAATATAAAAATATCTTTTTATTACAATATTATCAATTATATAAGATATCAATAAACGCTAATATGTTTCAATGTATAACTTAGCTACAATTAACACAATAATGCAATAATTTATAACATATACAACATATGTAATAAAATTTTTGTCTTAAACACCTATTATTTATTTATGTTATCAATAAATAATAGCATTGTTATATTTTGATACAACTTAATTAAACTTTACACAGTAATGTAATTATTTATAATTGTACAAGTATATATTATATATAATTTACAAAAATTAATGTAGCACGTCCAATTTATAAAAACTAAACTAATTAACTAACTTATACATCTTGCTAATAATTTTCTTAATAAACTTATTCATTCGGTGCGGCGCAATCGGACTAGTCGTCCAAAAGGTGAAGAGTATTTATTCCAAAATTAATAAAAATGTATAGAGTCGATCCATGACATTAATCCGCGTGTAACTATACATTATACATAGATGTCCTTGCCACAGTAAACACCTATTACGTCTCTATACGACTCTACCCAGAAATTTCTCGACCTCCTCATTCCTTATAAATTCAAACTCACCCTTTCCTAAACAAATTACATTTCCCTACCACCGCATTTTTAGAGAGAAAAAAAGAGGGCAAACTACATACCTTTTTCATTGCTTAGGGTTTTCTTGATCGATCATTTGATCGATCTTACACGCTACTTACCTTTCAGGTATTCCTCTCTTTCTGTTGTTTGTTTTTGAATTAATTGATGTTTTGATTTTTCTTTTTTTTTTTTTTGTAATTGTTTATGATCATATTTGATAAATGACTTTTGTTTTTGGATTGTTTGATGTTTTGATTCATTTTTATCATAATTGTTTATGATTTATATTTGATAAATTGATTTTTTAGTTAATTAACTGATATTTTGAATTTTTATTTTTGCGTAATTGTTACGGATGTGTATGATTTTTATTATTATTATTATTATTATTATTATTATTATTATTAGTACGACGATAAAGTGTTAAATTTATTTTTATAACTTTGTATTGTAATTAATTAAATAATTTTTTTTTATTTTTTTTAAAAACAAAAATATAAATATATGATGTGAATATATTTGTTTCTGTCCGTATTTGGGATTTTTTTTAAAATATATATATATATATATATATTTTTTTTTTTTTTTTGATAAAGTCCGTATTTGGATTTTATGAAATTGGGTGGGTTTTGATTGATAAAGTTGTTTTTGTGTTGTGTTATTAAATTCTTTTATTTTTGATTGTGATGATATTTTTGTTGGTGATTCTTATTTTAGAGAAAGGATACCTGAAGCTTCTGTTTGGAATTAGTTCTGATGATGAATATCTATTTATTTACGAGATGAATATATGATGCAATAGATCTAAATATTTATATGCTCACGATTTAAAATTGACAATATTCACTACAATCTTATCTTTACCTCAAAACCATCTGACTTTACCTCAAAACCATGTGACTCCCAAATCAAACAATCAAGTAAAGAATTGGGCTTTCATAGAAGAAATCAATAACCATGTTAAGAAAATCAGGATATATATGTTTTTAGTATTAAGACTATTGTTTCAATCTAGTTTTCCCTGAAAACCATCCGACTCCCGTATCGAACAATGGAAAAAGGATTATGCTGTCGTCGAAGAAATTAATAATCGAGTTTAGAAAATCAGGCCATATATGATTCTGTTCTATGGCTAGTCACCTTTGTATTGTTGGTTGTTAAATTTAGTAATAACTTTGCAGGAATGCTTGATTGTAATTAGTGTGTTGGCTGTTAAGGCGTCCTTATGTTTTTTTGTTAGCTATTTTTTTAGTAGGAAATCATATGCTTTATTATATTTATGTTAGTCATTAGAGTGGCTATCGTCAAGAGTAGGTGACAATTTTTCTTATGACATGTATCAAAACTTCCCTTTATGAAAAGAAGAAAATAAGCAACTTTCATTCACCAAAATCATTTTTGATGATTTTAATCTAAAGAAAGGATTTTATTTTTAATTTAATTTTTATTTATTTATTTAATTTTTTTCCTGCAATATGTTACATATGGGAATAATTTCTCGATAAGGATGGGACCAAGGAATGCTTTTTATCATCATTGAACTCCTATACTACATCTTCAACAACAAATGTTACAGATTATTATTAGTCCCTAAATGATCATTGAACTCCATATTGGGAATAAATTAATTAGTTCAAGTCTTGAAGAAACTCAAGAAAGACAGCAGCTTTATATTTAAGACTTTGCACTGATTTCACGCTTGACATATAGTACAGAGAGAAAACGGTGACTTCCAATAATGTGATTGGTGTAATCCTTGCATGTACATGATTTGGTATTTTGGTGTATAATTTTATGGGTGATTATGATAGTTGATTGCATCTTTGCTGATTGCAGATGAATTTGCATTTTTCTGCTTGTCTGTTTGCGTGCTTGTAGATTCAATAAAAGATGTGCTCTTTAAAAAATATTTTAACCAACTGAAATTTTTATTTTTATTTTCGGGTCACTCTATATTGTTACTATGCTTCTTCACCTTGATTTAATCTTAAGACTTTGTTTGGTTTGGTTGAAAATATTTCAAAAAAAAAAAAAAAATGGAAAAAAACAATTCCTAACCAATTTCTTTTGTTTGCTTCCTAACAACAAAAGGATATAATTGTAATGAAATAATTTTTACTCCAAACCAAACCACTTCATAAAATGGTGATGACTCCTTGTTAAGTATTTTGGGCCTGTTTAGTTGAAAAAAAACCCAACCTTCCTGATTTATGTTGTGTTAGAACTCTAATTGATACCTAAAATTCATTAATTAGCTGTTTAATAATCTTTGAAGCCACATTGGAATAGTAATTCTAGAGGTCAGGGACTGTTGTACAATTAATTAAATGGCTTGACTTTGTTTCTCTTGTTTTTGCTTAACCTCAACAAGAGAAGAAGAGTACATTATAACAGCTTCCTTGGCAGTGACCTTTTTCTTCCTGTGGTGCACTTAGTTAAGTTTACAACTTGTTCACAGATACTTTGTTATAGTTTTGACAAAATGACAATGACATTTGGTGATGGTCAAGAAACCGACAAGAACATTGCAATCTGGAAGATCAAGAAGTTGATCAAAGCATTGGAAGCTGCGAGAGGAAATGGCACCAGCATGATATCACTGATCATTCCTCCACGTGATCAAATATCTCGAGTTACTAAAATGCTCGGAGATGAATTTGGAACTGCATCCAATATTAAAAGTAGGGTTAATCGTCAATCTGTACTTGGTGCCATCACATCTGCTCAGCAAAGATTGAAGCTTTACAACAGGGTGCCCGCCAATGGACTTGTTCTTTACACAGGAACAATTATAACTGAAGATGGCAAAGAAAAGAAAGTTACTATTGACTTTGAACCTTTCAAGCCCATCAATGCATCTCTTTACCTTTGTGACAACAAGTTCCATACCGAAGCTCTCAATGAACTGCTTGAATCTGATGACAAATTTGGGTTTATTGTGATGGATGGGAATGGAACCCTTTTTGGGACTCTTAGTGGCAACACTAGAGAGGTGCTTCACAAATTTAGTGTTGACTTGCCAAAGAAACACGGCCGAGGTGGTCAGTCAGCGCTGCGGTTTGCACGTCTTCGAATGGAAAAGCGCCATAACTACGTGAGGAAGACAGCAGAGCTTGCTACACAGTTTTATATCAATCCACAAACCAGCCAGCCTAATGTTTCTGGGCTTATTCTTGCTGGTTCTGCTGATTTCAAGACTGAGCTCAGTCAATCAGACATGTTTGATCCTCGGCTTCAAGCAAAGATACTGAATGTTGTGGATGTTTCTTATGGAGGGGAAAGTGGTTTCAATCAAGCAATTGAGCTGTCTGCTGAAATTCTTGCCAATGTGAAGTTTATTCAAGAGAAGAAGTTGATTGGGAAGTACTTTGAGGAAATTAGTCAGGATACAGGGAAGTATGTTTTTGGAGTGGATGACACGCTGAAAGCTTTGGAGATGGGTGCAGTGGAGACACTGATTGTTTGGGAGAATTTGGATATAATGAGGTTTGAGCTGAAAAATATTGTTACTGGTGAATTAATCGTCAAACACTTTAACAAGGAGCAGGAGGCTGATCAGAACAACTTTCGAGACTCAGAAACTGGGGCGGATCTTGAAATTCAGGAGCAAATGCCATTGTTGGAGTGGTTTGCTAATGAGTATAAGAAGTTTGGCTGTTCTCTTGAATTTGTTACCAACAAATCACAAGAAGGGTCACAATTCTGCCGTGGTTTTGGTGGGATAGGCGGGGTCCTACACTACCAGTTGGACATGAGGTCCTTTGATGAGTTCTCTGATGATGGAGGAGTCTATGAGGATTCTGACTAGCAATTAACCTCCTTTTCTTCATTACCTGTGCCGGGGGTGGGAAAAATCCCCTGCATTGGTGAACGAGCTGTCGGGGTCAGTTCGGCAGCTGCTGCTCAGTCAAAATGTGACCAGTTGTCAACAATATTAAATGAGGTTTTGATATTTTGATATTATCTCTACACAATAGATCCTGCATTAAACTTATCAGGTGGATCTTGTTAAGCTTTATACTTCATTCGTTGTTCCTGACAGGCGGATCTTGTTGCACTCACTGGTCTTGCTATGCAAGGTGGAGATGCAAGTGGCGCTTATCAGCTTGGACAACTTCCTACTTTTGACGTAGACTTTGCTGCCTCACTAGTGCACATGTGCTACCCCTGCACCATTGAGCGAGCTGCTGCGGTTAGTTTGGCAGCTGCTGCTTGGTCAGAATACGACATTATGTCAACATTGGGTTTTTTTTTTTTTTTTTTTTTTTTTTTTTTTTTTTTTTTTTTTAATTTTTTTTTTATATATATATTAATTTTCTTTTTCTAGATTGTTTTTAAACAACAGTAGGTGTTCTTGCATTAGAGCCTCAGGTAGGTCAAAGTTTACTTAACTTATCTATTTTTACTTGACAGATGGATCTTGTTGAGCTTTCCGGTCAAGTGATGGGAGGTGGAGATGCAAGTAGTGCCAAGCAGCAGCATCTGACACTAGTTTACTGAGGAGGCAGATCTGTATGTGTTCTGTTTGCTGTAAAATTTCCTTGAGGTTGTTACTAAGCCTGTGTGATCTGGTTTTTAAGAAGCTATTAGTAGGATTTTATAATTCTAAGATTATGGCTTCTCATATTTTGTTTGTTTCTGTGTTTATCTATATATTTTTTTGTATTAGGTGGGCAAATCAACTGTTGAGCTACATACTTCCGGTTGATTTTATCCTCGGAACACTTCATCTCTGGTTAAACTGTTTTAGGGTTTGATGAAAAACCTAGACCGTTGCCGTTATTAGCATGTTATGGTATTTGCTACGTCAGTTGGTACACTGTCATTTTATACTTATCATAGAGGTGTGGACATGATACTGAACGTTGCTATGTTTTAAAGCACAAAAACAAGATTAAGTAGACGATGGGAGAATTCCCACGCTTAAACCTAACAATAATGCATCCCCCTTAGGGGTGTTTCACATCGATGAGGACCGTATGGGAAGTGATATGTTCAAGCTTTTGGACTATATCACACCTATAAGAGAACCTCTATCCACAATACTCATAGGGGCAACTAATGAAGTATGTGGACCACGGGACGACGACTTTCAAGACTGATATATCTCTAAATATGTCGCTGTCCCACCTCCATCTTGTTTACAAAATGAAACAAATGGAGCGCTTGATTGGGATCATTTCTTGGGGAAATCGCAAGATTTATTGAATTTCTCCTTGGATGAACAATGGCATCAAGTACAACTCATGGTACATCTTAAAATGGAGGCACATCCAAAGCCTCTAGAAGAAAGTTGGTTTGTGAGTCCTATAACTAGCCCAAACGAGATAGATCATTTAACTCATTCTGGGCGAGTCTACCAAGCACCACCACCAAATGGATATTTGACCACACAAAATCAAACTCAAGGTCAAGTACAAAATCCAATACCACCTCCACTTTAGGTGGAAGATCCATTGGTCAAACAAGTTCGCCAATCCAAGGCAAATGTTAGCATTTGGGAACTCTTAAGTACTTCTAAAGAACATAGGAATTCTCTCATGAACGCTCTAACGGCTTTGTCTGTAAGCTTAGACACAACACCCCAGGATCTCGTTAGCTTCCTTACTAGCGAGAAATCCGACAAATCAATCATTTTTACTAATGATGATTTGCCTTCAAAAGACACCACCAACAACAATGCATTATACTTAATTGTGGGATGCAAGGGATACAATATCCCTCTAACTTTTGTAGACAATGGGTCAGCTGCAAACGTATGCCCATTACGTACGACAAAATACTTAGGCCTAAATACAGAAAAAGATTTTCAATCAACAACACAAAGCATTAGGGCCTATGACAATTCGAGAAGATCGGTGTGTGGAACTGTTAAGCTACCAATTACCACAGGCTCAATTTAAAAGATGGTTGAATTCCATGTTATGGACATAAAACCTACATTCAACCTTTTACTTGGACGTCATTGGATACATGAGCTTGGTGCAATACCATCCTCACTTCATCAAATGATTAGGTTGAACTATCAAGGACATCCTATGACTATACATGCTTCTCCACTCAAAATAGCAATAAATGATCAATCACTCTTAGAAATAAACCATGATAATGATGAAGAGGACATGTGGGGATTCGCCGTGGAGCCAATCTTCACAATAGAAATGGAAGAAGACTTTGAAGAACCATTCAAGCTTGATCCATATTCCACTCGGATAGTAAACAACATCTTACTCAAGAGAAGTTACTAACTTGGGATGCCTTTGGGAATGGGAATGAAGAAATCTCTCTTACTTACTATCCCAAAGAAAATCTTCTCCTTTGGATTAAGATATAAACCAACCAAAGAAGAATTGGAGTCTCACGATGCAAAAAAAAAAAGCACGTAGAGACAATAATAAGAAAGGGATAATCACTTTACTCCCATCCTATCAACAAACCCTTAATGGGCAATTCATTAGGGAGGGAGAAGATTACCCATTGTAGACACCCATATGTATCTCCCCAAAACAAACCCAGTGATGAATACCTTTCACGTCATATGATTATCGAACAAAGCGAAAGTGTGAAAATTCTAGTGATGAGGATGTTTTTATTAAAATATCTCGTCATTCTGTTTTTGAAAATATTTCTTTTCTTACCTTATTTATGAAAAATGTGCATTCCAGTTTAGTTTGGTCCATAATAAGGGTCCAATAATAGTTTAGTTGGATGGGGTTTGAAAAGACCTTTCCAACGATATATTATAAGCTCAATTCTGATGAATAATGAGGAAGTTATGGCCAAAATACTAAATTGGGCCCAAATCGGATTTTACCTACGACCCAATGATCATGTGGAGGGTCCAAAGGTTTAATCCTATCCCTAAACTAATTAGGATTAACTAGAAGATTCCATAAATTTCTAAAAGATCTTAATTATCCCTTTTGAAAAGATAAGATTAAAGAATTTGAGTTAAATAAAAACTGGCCTTTTTTAAAACTTTCTTTTTTCTTAAATCCTAATTCTATTCGAATTTAAAGATGTTCAAAGACAGTCAGATTTTATTTTCGTGCCTCATAATCTTTATCAAAATTTTATATGGTTGGATAGATCTTGAAATTATCATTCCAATGATATATTATAATATTAATTTCGAACTATAACGAAAAAGATATGAATGAGATACAAAACTCTATCCAAAACTGACACCGTCCCACTATTTCAGCCATATTTTTTTATCTACAAAAGATTTTAATCTTATCTAATTGGGTTGGAAAATAGACTTCAAGAGCTTTTCAACAACATATTATATTCCTTATTTGGACTTCTGGATCAAAAGATATGATAAAAACAAAATCCGCAAAAACTGCTATCCATCGAGTTTTATTTCGATTCGAATTCGGATTCTTTTCTTATTCTTCGACCCTCTTTTTTCTCTACAAATAGAGGCCATATCTCCCATTTTTCAATCACAAAATCTCATCAAGAAATTCTTGATTCTCTTTTTATTTCTAGTCTAGCTTTCTTTACACAATTCCTCATACATTAGCACTAGACATATCTAGCATAATTCGAAGTTGCCTTCGCCCTAGACGTGAAAGATTTTAATTTCTGAGGGTTTGGTCCCAAATCTCTACTTCAATTATTTATTTAATTGTTTTGATTTAATATTTTCCTTGAAGTTACTAACGCGTGTATTTTGTTATTAGAAAGAGGTACGAGGCATCAAAGTAAGTGTTTTAATTGTTTACATTGTTATTATGATATAGAAATCAAGTCTAGGTTGTTATTTTGATTCCTAGTGTCATGTTAGGGTGTTTTGATCTTCTTAGTATGATGTTTAGGGTAATAACTATAATTTCTATTATCAAATATGACAATTGTGTTTCCTGCGATACGTCCTACTTTCTTTCCTAATATTCATGTTAGTATCATATTAGGGTTGAAGCTTTGATTTTTGTATTGCTTAATTAGTGACATGCTAGGGTTTTTTATTAATCTTGTTAGTATCATGCCTAGGATCTTGCTTTTATTATGCTTTAACATGAACATGATTATTATAATTATGATTATAATTGTTTTGATTATTATTATGTTGCTTGATTATATTATTGTTATTGCTTGATCACACCTTTTATGCATGTTTAAAGGGAATTTTGGTACTTGTAATCACGCTTATATAAGATAATTAATAATCTTGTTTAGGGCTAATTTGATTATAATTCAAGTGATTGCCAATAATAGTTTTATTTGTGCATTAAATTCAACCAACATAGATAAATAGGTTTAGGGTTAATCCTAATGGTTGCATGTTAGTCAGAAAGAGCACATGAATACGGTCAGAATAAAGTAGAGGCCTATTATTAGGGCAGGTTCAATTTCTTTTAGGTTGGATTTGTACCTTCATCCTCGAACTACCAGTCATAGTTCCAGGCCTATTGGAGTTAACGATCTCCTGGATCGTTAAGGGGTGTAACCTTCACCCCGTGAACGGTTTACAAGTTCCTAAAACTTGTTAGCGACTCTTTTTCTCTATCTTCTTTCCCTTTGGATTCCACCGTACTTTAGTGTATGATTACAGTGGGGTTCAAGCTAGGGATAATACTTGAAATATTCCCTACACCCATGCTACGACTTTTCAGAACCTTTAGTTTTGGAAGGAATCAAGAAGCCTGGATTTGAAATATTTCATGATTGTTACTTCTTGGATGACGATCTTAGTATCGTTAAATCAAAACACCCAACTTCAGGGTGCTATGATGGGCAAGCATTTAACTTGCTATTTGGATTAGAGCAAAATCATGTCGCTACAATCACCAATCAAAACGCCATTCAAGATGAAGCTTTTGACCCAACCTCGTTGATCACCCTTTCAAATGAAACTTTCGAGCATGGATGGAGGAAATCTTTTAAATGGACCAGTCACAAAGGCGATAAGCTGAAAATCGTCACAGAGGAACAGATATGTTTGAAGAATCGGACGACGAATCTATTATAGACTCTAGGGAAGCTGAAAATCTAGGCCTTGTGGCCATTACTTAGTCTTTATTTTCTAGTTCTAAGGACGAAAATCCCAAAAAGGATTCTTCTCTTGATGTACTCTCTTTTGATTTTAATAATATGAGCTCTTTCCGAGTATATGCCTTCTCTTGAATCTTTCGAACGTCATAACAATCAATCTAATGAAGATGATAACATTAATAAATTGGTTGAACTAATGAATGAACGAGAACAAAAGAACCCTATCGTTGAAGAAACTGAAATATTAATATAGGAACTAACAAAAATAAAAGAGAAGTCAAAATTGGCATAACTCTAAATGCGGAAGAGCGATCGACCCTCATATCGAAGCTCAAAGAATTCAAAGACGTGTTTGCTTGGTTATTCAAGGACATGCCTGGAATAGATAGGGAAATTGCGGAACATACCATTCCCTTGAACCCTACCTCTAAACCAGTAAAACAAAAACTTCGACGAATGAAACCGGATGTCGCATTAAAATTAAAAGAAGAAGTACAAAAACAGTTAGACGCAGGTTTTATTCGCGTATGTAATTACCCAGAATGGGTAGAAAACATCGTCCCAGTCCCTAAAAAGGATGGACGAGTTCGCATGTGTGTCGACTTTAGGAACCTTAATAAAGCTAGCCCTAAAGACGATTTTCCTCTACCACATATTGATATATTGGTAGATAATACGGTTGAACATGTGATGTTATCCTTTATGGATGGATACACAGGTCACAACCAAATTTTAATGGCAAAAGAAGACGAAGAAAAGACATACTTTATTACCCCCTGGGGTACATATTGCTACACAGTTATGCCATTCGGTTTAAAAAATGCAGGAGCTACGTACCAAAGAAGGGCTACGACTCTC